CTTCGCTCGTCAGGTTTTCTATCTGCGCAGGAAGCACAACACATCATTGCCCTGGCCAAGCCTATGTTGAAGGAATGGCAATGCACCTTCAGGGAACGGGTTTCACGTTGGGGCTTGGGGCGGTGTTAGGAAAGCAGCTTCAGCCTCAAACTGTCTTCGGCCGCAAGCAATCTCACAGGCAACTTGTGCCGCGCATTTCTTAACAAATTGCTACTTACATTAAAGCCACAACGAAGGAGCTAATGGCTGTTAGCAGTCTCCCGCGTAGTCTTGCAACTGTCTAGCTGGCAATGAGATTGTGTGTATTGCTACCTGACAAGAGTTCCGAACAGGCTTCACTCGAACTTGTACAAAAGACCTGTCCGGTCAGATCAGGGTGCATCGGGCCTCGCACTCACTCTGACTGCGGTGCTGCACGGAGCCGAGGAAATGCAGCAGTCGAACGCAGCAGAAATTGAGCAGTCCCTGCCAAAGAGAACGACAAGTGATCTTGCTGAGCGGTCCGAGGCACTCTCTCAAGCACAGACCAAACAAATTTAGAGAACTAGCTTTGCTCACACGGGGAAACACGACCCCATAAGGAGCAGAAGGTGAACAGGCCTCCAAGATGTCGGTGATTTGAATTCCGAGAGAGTGGTGTGACAAAAAGAGGGATTACAGCCGGCGCTTGACATGCCACAGCAACAGCAGGAAAACAAGAACTTTCGGAAGACGACCGTCACCCCCCCCCCCCCCCTGCTAGTACGAGGTACCGCATCATCAGCCCATCAGCAGCAGAAGCGTAAACTGCACGGCAAAATCTAAGACTAAGACTGTCGGGTTCTGTTGAGAGGATGGCGTGGTGATCGAGTCCGGCCAGCTGGTTCGAGCAAAGTATCGGACAAGCCAGACTGCATGGTTGGAGGACGAGGAAGGGACATGGATCAACAGCCTTTAGATCCCTCATTCCGCAAGCTTTCTTCCAGTGAAGGATCCGGTTTTGCGCAACATCTCCAACCGGATTGAAGACTTTACCGGCTTGTCCCTGCAGTCCGCAGAGCAATTCCAGGCGTGATCAAAGTTTTCCTGCTTTGCGCTCAGTGCAAGCTCTTGTTCTGGGTAGGTGGCCCACTACACTGCAGAGAACCAGGGCAGCTACGAGCCGCACTTCGACTGGGGGACCCGAAGTCTGGCACATCGCACGTGTCACTCCGTGTCGTCTGAGAACTCGCAGGACGGAGGTCGAAGTCAATGGCGCCTTTGGAACCCCGGAGGACAGCGGCGGGGTCCCCAGACCTCATGCAGCAGAAATCGGTACTTGGGATGGGTTCGTCCTTGGCCCGCCAGATTTTTGTGAGCCCTGGCATTGTTGCTTTGTTCTTTTGACAGCCGCGAGGATGTGCTGACGTGTACAAGGGTTCTGTCCCCTAAAAACATCTTGACTGCTCCTTAAGGGATTTGGCTCCAGACGACGGACATGGTAGACAGCCAGGTTCAAGGCACCGTGCCTTGCGCACGCCGCAAAAGCTGCAGTTTATGGCTGGCGTAGTCCGGTGGCTGTTACCTTGGTTGCAAGCCGCTGCCTTGCGCCTTTCAGACTGGACGAAACCTGCGGGCTTGGCTCTGCCATTGGTTGCCATTGGGCCGGATAGGGGATTTTCAGGAAAGTACGCGAACCTGCCTAGCTTCTTGCAGTCCGATGGACGCCACATCTTGGTGCGCAGCGGCGACTATGAGGAGCTTCCCAAAATCGCTGCCGCAGTGGCAGAGGCGGCCCTTCCATGGTCGGAGCTCTTCGTGTCTGCTCGTATCCTTCCCGGTGATCTGGGCTACGACGGAACCTTCCTGGCCGTGAAGCGACTGTTGCAGGGGCTGGGTGCACCAAGGATTGACCTGGTCCTTGTAAGCTCCGGGGACAACGCTGAGGGGCAGGCATGGCAAACAACGCCTCTGTGTGCTCAGAGTGAGTTTGGTTGGGAGCTTTGCGTGAAGAGTAGCCTGGCTGCTCTGGAGCACTTGCAGCTCAGTGGCCAGGTTGGACACATTGGTGCTCATGACTGGTCAGTCCAGAGCCTACAGACCGTTGCCCCAGTGCTCCGGGCGCCCTTGGCAGCTCTGGAGCTGACCTTTGACACCTTTGCCAACAGCCATCTTGCTGCTTTGAAGCTCGGTCTCATCAAGGGCATCCAGGCCCCCTCAATAAGTGCAGGGTTCAGTTGTGTCTAAAGCTTGAGACCCGTGGAGTCCTTGTCTTTGACAGATCATGATGATCGGCTTCGCCGAGCAGCCCGGCCGTCTCATCTCTCCAATGTTCATCGGCGCTGGGACGCAGTCGGAGGCGTACGCTGGCCGGGCTTCACTGATGTCAGCATTTGCTACCTTGTCTTGGCTGCTGGCGAAAGATGTTGTGGCTGTCATGCCGGGTGATTTGCTTGACCCTGTGAGCATCTCTACTGTACAGTCACTTGACGAGAGCCTTATACATGGATACCTTCGGGATTACTTCGACGCAGTGTTTTGGCCAGGTGAGCGACGTCCCATACTCTACGAGGCGATCTTGGAACTGGGCACGACTTGCTCGGCCAAGCTTAAGGTCTCCAGCCCTGAAGAGTGCATGGTGGCTATGGAGGAACTAGAGGGGCCGAGTGCTCTGGCACCTGCCAAGATTGACGGAACCAGCACCAGTGGCTGCTCCTTGTATTTTGGCGGCGGTTGCCATTCCATTGACTGTGCGGAGGCCCACTTCGGAGAGACCGGGCAACCACGAGCCGTGCCAGTCTGCCAGATTGATGGAGCCAGGCCGCCAGCGCAGGGCAGGACGCTTTTCTTGAGCATGTGTATGGGGGCGGAGTATTTCGACAAATTTTGTGCTCCGTTTCTGGCTTCGTTTCGCATGGTTTATGGACGTCTACTGCACGGCTGGCACACCATGCGAGTATGGACAGTTGGTGTTGGGGCCCAACAGCTTCAGCATGCAAGAGACCTGTTCTCTCCAGCAGGAGTGGAGTTTGAAGAGAGCAGCTCTGAAGAGTTGCGTCGACGATTCGTGGAGGAGTACGGGCGCAGCGCAGATGCTGACTACTTGAGCGAGGACATTGGCTCGCCAGGCCTTGATGGGCGAACCGGCTGCTTCGGCTGCCAAGGCTCTGAGTGCACTTGCGATCCAGGTGCACACGATGAGAAAGTCGTGTTCAACAACATCTACTTCCTGCAATGGGTCATTCGTCAGTTTGAGGCATCACAAAATGAGGGCTACCAGTACATGGTCTTCATTGACTCAGACATGCTGTTTCTGCGGGATCTAGGCAGGTTCCTGCCACGGGAGCCAGAGACCACAGACTGGGACTACGCTTTCACGATCTACGACAAAGACCATGAAGTCCCTTGGGGTGGCAACGAAGAAGTGGCAAAGACCAGGAATGGATTCGTTCGAATAAATTCTGGAGTCCAGCTGTTCCGGTATACCAAAGGCGTGAGGCTCTTTCTTTCTAACCTGTTGGAGATCACCCGCATCTTCATGCGCTACGGAGAGACGAAGCAGCTTGCCGAAGAGACTTGGTTTCTCGAGGAGTTTCGAGCACTGAATCAGGCCGCCATCGCCTGGTTCGTGGGTTCAGCAAACTTACTTTACAATGACTGCTTGGTATGCTGGCCACGCACTATCAGTTTTGACAGTGTGTCTGCAACTGGTGAGCAGTTTTCACTGAGCGCCCAGGGGTTGCCTGCCCGTTTTATAAACCAGGCAGAGTCCGTTACCGACGGCAAATTGAGCAGAGAGGTGCACATGGTGCACCTGAAAGGTCTCTGGTGGCGCGTTTTGATTCTGAACGCAACTGCACACTCGACAGCCACGCGTTGTTTTGCGTGGAACACTGGTGCATACGATCTGTGGAAATCGCTTTACTTGGCCTGGCGGCCGGAGCTTGTGGTCACAACCAGCGTCCATCAGGGGCAGCAATGCCCAGACGTATCTTCGTTGACTGCGTCTTTTTGAGGCTTCTGAAGAGCAAGCGGCTTAGGCTTAGTCTTGACTCCTAGTAACCACCGACATGCCTCGAGTCAACCTAGTGGCTGGATTCAGCCTGGAACAACGGTTTCGGCGTCCTCATTTGCTCGTGCCGCACAGCTAGGGTGGATGCTGGTAAAGTGTTTCATTCTGGGAAGTGGTTGACACTACTGCAGCCGAACTGGCATGCAGCTGTTTCCGGAAGTCCGCACCGTATATCCGTGACCAGTTGGCACCTGCTCATCTTCTTCCCCCTTTTTCTCGGCCTCATTCTGGCTCCCGCTGCAGTCTGCACTGATCTCTGAGGCAAGGGTCGGCTTTGTGGTGGTGGAGCATTGGTTCGCACTTGGCAGACCCTGTCCTCTTCAACTTTGGAAGGTGTATTCAGCTCCAGCCGCTGAGAATCCTGGAGCAGTCGGATTCCGTCGGTTTTTCTTTTATTCTGGCCAGCACACGCAAAGCTGGCTGCTGTAGGACGTGCCTTCCAGCCAAACAGACTTTTCCCACGGGAATTGAATTGGGCACTGACGGAGGTCGACTTTTCTCCAAGTGGTCATTTCCCAACCTAACGCTGTTCTCTGAGAGCCTGGGATGTTGCAGGTACTGTTCGACTCGCACGAGATGAGCAAAGGCAATCATGCATGGCTAAGGTCAGGGTCCAGCCTAGTGCCTAGTGCCTAGACAAAACCAGGACAGCCGGAGAATTGTTAGGATGGGCTCAATGGCTCTTCATGAGCTGAGGCCAGGGACCCAGACTGGCCACCTTCCTCATCTACTTGAATGAAGTGCAAGGCCGCACTGTCATCCCGCAAGCTGCCTTAACTTAGTCTGGCTTCTTGACATGCTTGCAGGTGGCGGCGCAACCACGTTTGTGCAGCAGGGCCTCACGGTCCAGCCCGAAGAAGGCCGCTGAGTTCGCTTCTACAACCGCCACTGCAGATCCAGCCCTAGGCGGCCCTTCGGGCTTCGCTCAGATCCTACGCTTTGCTACTTGTAGCGGTTCGCGGCATTCAGTCTTAGCTCAGGAAAAGACTAGGGCTCTGAATTGCTCGGCGCTTTTGGCCACGCTGTTGCTCACTTTGGCCTGGAGGTGCTGCTCTTTTCTGGTACAACCTGCTCCCATCCGGCGAGGGTGATGAGCTGGTTCGTCACGGTGCTTGCCCTGTCACGGAAGGTGAAAAGTTCATTGTAACGCGGTGGAACTTCGGCTGCATCTGTGCTCACGAGTCCTCCGTTGCACGGAAGTCGAATAGTCAGGCTGAAGGCAGCCAACCCCCTCAAGCCCCCAAATTGGCCACTCCGACTGTCCCCTGCGGTAGGACTGGATCAGAGCAAGCAGATCTTGTTTCGCATCAAATAATGACGTCCTGAGGACAACATCCACAACATCAAGCACTGATTTTTACAGCATGTCCTAACAACCCTCACTTCGACCACATCCACAAACGAATGAATCGACATCACGCCCGGATATCCTCCCCCGTCCACACCCCCGATTGCACGGTTATTTGCAACACAAGTCGTTTATGTTGGTTTTCAGCATGGGGGGGGGGGGGGGGGGG